ACGTCAAACTGCGAAGACAGATGCACCACAAACTTCTTGACGTTCGCTTTCATCTCATTCTTCAAGAAGTTCTCGTATTCCTTCAGTTTCTCTTGCAGCTTGCGATCCAAATCGTTTTCCTCACCATCGATAGGGGCGTATTTTGCTTTGAGGCTCGCTAAAACAAGAAATTCATAAAATAAAAAGTTCATCTCGTATTCAGGGGATTGTACCCTGTTTTGCGCGTTGCCACGTTTGCAAGATTTGACAGTCAATTTCAGCGTTGGTGGTCCGCTGTTTGGCCGCTTCGGGGACGAAACCTTCTGTAAGCTCCACGCTCAAACACAGCCCTCCGACAGGAGTGGTTTTTGCGTCTTGACCGTTCCCAATTGAATCCAATTCGCTGATCAGGAGAGACTCCCGGAAAGCCAACTTTTGCATCATCTCTTCGTCTTGAACGTTCATCAATTATTTTTCATTAAATGTTTTTTTTGAATCGTTACTGATCACAACGGTTGGAGAAAATGAATGTATTGAAATTGATTGAGGTAATGAAAAAGTTATTTTAGGATTGTGAAAGTAGTGTTTCAAACGTCAGAATTGATTGGAAATTTTTGAAAACGCGGTNAACTGATATTTCTCTGGCATCTTTTATTCAAAAAATAACACCATATTTGTGAGATGTTTCGTTCTTATAATTATCTTATAATTGATGTGCTTCAATGAATCAGTTGGCATTCAATTTGTCTTCTGATAATGCTCAATCAGAAAACGAAAAATTTTTTTAGTTGAATATTTACAGTGTCTCTGAAAGGGTTTTTTCGCTAATGGTTTATTGAATGTGGAATTCGGTTAACCCCATATTGAATACATTCTTTTTTCCATTTAAATTACAGTTTTGGCCTACTACTGCGAGAGACATTATCAAAAGCGATGAGGTAACAGTCAAAGTGCTCAAGTTGTTCCCAACGCAGAACAACTTGACCTATTCGACCGTTGCCTTATTGTTTTTGATGATGTTTACCGCAGTAGGAGGCGAAGTGTTAGGCATTATACCATCAAATTATAAGGCGCCCATCAAAAAATATTCTGTGGTTATAAAAAAAAAGAACCGAATAGATTTCTTCGCCAAGTGTTCAATTATTTCAGTTTTTAGTCAACAGATGGCAAATGATTGGTGGATGGAATATGGGCTTGATGTTTCACATATAACAGAAAAATGTTCAATAAAATAAACATTTTCTGTTTTGAGTAAATTTTTGAATAGACGGGACATGTGGTGCTTAAAAAAACCGAATAAGGAATTGAATTGACATATGAAAGCTGAAAATAGTTTTGCTACTGGTCCTGTAACATCATTACGTGATATGAAGAGATTGAGCTCTACTTTTTCTTTCAAAAACTAAGAATCTAGTATTTGGTTCCATAGTAAGCTATAAATTTTAAGAATTTAATTTTGAAATATAAAATTTCAATAGTTGAAAAAACATTTGAATTGAGAAATTGACTTGAACAATTTTTTTCTC